GGTGCAGATGAGAGAGGAAATTGAATAGCACAACATATTATTAGAATTCTAAAATCTGCTATTAAGGGAAGTGAAAAAGGTATAGCAAATAACAGAATCAGCTTTATTATGGTGCTTTAAGTATCACACAAGCAAAACAAATGTACATAAGAATAACAATACATATTAGAAAAATGCATAGCTTAAATTTTATCTATGCAAAAAATAAACAGACAAGCTAAAATACCAGTTACCTTAATGATTAATGAGGCACACTGCATTGCGGAAGACATACATAGCAAAGTTCAAGGACATTAAAAAGACAAGATGAGGCATTATCCTCGTTCAACAAATGAATATCTACAGAGTTGAACAATTTACAATCTTCTTCAACTCATAGAACATTATGAAAGGAGTCAAAATGTACAATCAAGTCATTATTTTACAGAGTATTTTATTACATGTCCACATTCAAGAATGAATTTTCTACGTAATTGATATATTATCGTAGCTTACATCGTAGTTGTTATGCACGTACATTATCCAGATTCAACAATCAATATCTAGAACAATTTACAGACTTCTTCAACTTATAGAACATTATAAAAGGAGTCAAGTTGTTCAAGCATGTCATTAGCTCAAAAGAGGGCACATTCAAGATTGAATTTCTACGTAACTGATATATTATCGTAGCTGTACGTCCTAGTTTATACGTACGTACATTATCCCCATTCAACAATCGATATCTACGTAGTTGAACAATTCACAGTCTTCCTCAACCGATAGAACATTGTAAAAGGAGTTAAACTGTCGCAGCGTGTCATTAGTTCAAAGAGTATTTTATTACATGTATTATTAAGCTAACTGCAATTTCAATCATTATAAGCTAGTTTTTAAAATTCTCCCGTTCCATTGGGATGACTGACGATTTCAGATTTAAAACCAAAACTCAAAGATACCTTTGTTAACATCCACTTTGAAATACATCCAACTCATTATACGTCTTGTACGTACGCGATACGTTTTCTTTGGACTCGATTTCGATTAATCACCAACTGCGCGCGTTACCTATTTCAAGACAATGCTACGACTGTCCATGGCTTTTTAACACGCGTCTTGCTACTATTCAGTACTGCTCTGTAACTCCGAATTTTCATGTTATTTTGTGTTTTCCCACGCAAGTGTTTTGTAAACTCATTAGGAATGAGTTTTAGGAAAGTGAATGAGAAGCAAGCAACGAAGAAAAGAAGAGTTGAAGAAAAAAAAAAAAAAAAAAAAAAAAGAGATTGTTCAAAAGTATTTTTATGTGCATACGGGTTCGTAATGCATTGAATGCGCACAGAACCGACGACAGCTTGATAAACTCTAGTTTCTGAAACTACTTTACAGTTTTGGAATTCTTTAAGTATTTGCACAGCTCTTTTCAAGTATTACAATCAATACAAAAGGCCTCAAAAGCCTAATCCCGCACAGTAATCTCAATAATCTGAGCTAAACTCTAAATCAAACTGGAAAATGAAGCTCTGTCCAGTCTTGTATAGTTTTTCTCGTCCGCCGCGAAATTTCGAGTACATTCGATTTCTCGAAATTGCTGGAAGGCATACACAGTTACAGTTACAAAAGGCCGGATACAGATGCAGTTATCCAACGATCTAACCAAAATGTTGCCAAGTTTGGCTACTTTTGGTGACTGGCGACAAAAATTAGTCGGCAAAACAAAGGATCGCCAGCTTGGCGGCAACCATTTACCTCAACGTTAAATGGACATACCCCTGTAAATCCGTTTTTCTGACGACGCTTCCCACTCTTGAGGCCTTTCATGTTACATTATACAAGAAATGAAATTTATACATAATTTCACTAAAATTATTTACATATATACAAAACTACTAACAATATGAAAATGGCAAGTGTATCTGGGTTTTGGCTATTGCGTATCGACAACTGTGAAATAATAAAGACAATATTAAATCGGCTACAAAGGTCGAAATACATCGGTTAAAAAGGTACATCGGTTGTGAAAGGAGTCGATTACCATACAATGATCAGAGATGCTACAACATGCTGAAAAACTGCTTTCGACACGCATAGCAGAAAAACATTTACGTAGAGTACTTCACTTATGTATGATATATACTATTTTACTACTGCATTTTTATTTTAGTATTAGACAACGTCGTAATAATAGCAAAAGAATTTTTTATATAAACGGATTAATTATCTTCCCTTTGTTTCGCATCGGAAAACTGTTTGGTGCACATCCAAGGATCTAGAACGAATTAACAGCGTATCCAAGGTGCCACTATACTGAGTGTGCAAAGGCTCTATCTAATCAGCAATATATATACATATATATTAAGTATGTTATATATATTTCAAGGCTCACCATTACAAAAATGTCAGTAACGTTTAAATTCACAGTTCATATGCACGGCAGTAACGAAGTTTAAGAAAATATAAAAAAATGCAAAACAAATAGCTATCACTTTTAATTTATAGAAATGAATACTTATATAGGAGTTGAGAGAAAATGCAAAAATTGTAATTTTTGTTCACGAGTGTTGATCTTTAGTTGTTATTACAGTTTCGCGGACAGGAGAGTCTATCAATGTCCACGAGAAGTCGTTTGCCCGATTCTTTGAAGTGGCGAGCGATCGGATGGATGGAAATGGGGATGTCATTAGCTGATGCTGCTAGACATCTCAGTGTCTCTCGGTACACGGACTATGGAATCAGTTCGAATCCGAACATTCTGTGTCTAGAAGACATGTTCTAGGCAGACCTAGAGTTACAACATCTCCGGGAGACCGTTAGTTAGCTAATTACTGTGCCTCAGCTCATGGCAGATCATTTAGTGGCAACAGAAATAAGAATCTCAGATACTACGGTGAGGTGGCGCCTGCACAATAGAGGTTTGTATGCAAGACAACCAGGTCTATGTCCTCTTAACCCGAGGACACAGAGGTGCCCGTTTATGTTGGGCAAGAGACAACGACTCCTGGGCATCTGTTCTCTTTACAGACGAGTCAAGTTCACATTGTAGAGTGATTCAGGTCGTCAGCTGATCTGGAGGGTACGACTCACCAGATACAACCAATCCCACATTGTGGAAAGACACAGTTACAGAGGTGGTGGAATAATGGTTTGGGCTGGGATCTCTCTAAGTGGTCGCACTGATCTGCATGTGTTCCATGGAGGAACTTTGACCAGTGTGAGATAACCAAGATCAATGTGTCCGCCCATATGCCGCTGTTATTGGTCCTGGGTTTCTTTCTGATGGACGACAATGCGCGATCGCATTGGGCTCGGGTTGCTGAAGAATATCTTGGGGGTCGTGGTATGGAGTAGATGGAATGGTCAACTCAATTTCCAGACTTGAATCCGATAGAGCATCTTTAGGACTACCTTCGGAGGCTTGCTGCTTGCCTACTCCTTCGGATGTGGTCAAGGTGACAGCCGGGAATGCGTCAGAAAAGGGAGAAAAGCCATTTGGGTTGGTCTATTGCTTATAAGGTCTATGTATATGTATTAACTTGATGTGTCAGAAGTTTTTGGTTTTTGGTATGGCAACAAAAAATTATTTAAAGATTGGTTTTGTTGCTTAGAAAGAACGAACTGATTTCATTCATATTGAAATATCCTTCTCCAAGGTCGTTAGATGAGCTTGAACAAGGATTACTCTGTGTCTGGTCGTTGCTTTCCATTTCACTGACCGACAACTTAATTGACAGCATGGAACACCGTTGCCGCCAATGTATTGCAGCTATGGGTGAAGTCATTCCTTATTAGAAACCATTTTTTTATGTTACCAACCCATTTTTTCCTCAAAAAACTATGATATACTGTTTCTCCCAGACTGGATTTCTCTACCAAGAGTGCAATTTTTTGTTAAAATTCATGTATGTGCTGAACTTTAGAAACATTTTATGTCACATTCATTAAACAGTTTGGTGAACATGTCCTGTAAATTTCTTGTTCCTATGTTGCTTCACTCTCAAATAAAACACAAAAAACATGTTGTTCTTTAACTTTTGGAGGCCAGTGTTTTTGGGCACAAGCGGACTGTAGCCAAAGCGAAATTTATAAGTTCTATGGCCACCTGAAAAGAAAACGCCTAAAAACATTTCAAGATGAATGAAATCAGTTCATTCTTTCCAAGCAACAATCAATTCGTAAATAATTTTTTTTTTTTGTTTGTTTTTGTTTTCAAACCAGGAAGCAAAACCTTTTGACACTCTCAGGTTTACTACGTATAGGTATGACGCCATGACTTAAAATCTGATGTAATATTATAACTTTTTCTCAATGTCGATAAAAGAATTAATGTGGCAATAACATACCGTGTCAATTATTCTAACTTGAAAAAGGTTGCCAGCGGCAGCTATTTATTTAAAGACATTAATAAAATTAATTTCAACTATGAATAGAATTCATTAATAAAAGAATTAAATTTAATTAACATTAAAGAAAGAATTTTTGACATACAATGATAAAACATGCAATCGCGTGCTTTCTTTAACATCAGAATATGACATTAAATAAATAGACTTCATGTTTGGCAATGCTACTTTTATTTCATATTTTGTAAAACTTAGAAATTTTTCACTAAGAAACTCTATAACCAATCCCACATTGTGGAACATTTAGAAGTAAGCAGTGGCAACACTTCTCGAAATAAAGTATTTTTATTTCCAGCGATTCCCGAGACTGTTGCCACTCGGGAAAATGAATGCGAAAATTAGTGTTTTCAGAGATTTTAATTAATATCTCGGCTGATTAAAGTCGTACGAAGATGAGAATGATCGAAATGGCTTCCCACGAATTTTTGGAATCTGGGAGTACCTCTCACGAAACTCAACTCACTGCCGTTCTGGAGGAAATGATGCCACAAACAGACGCGCATACATTGTAATAGTGTGGATAATTTGTAATTATGTTCTTTATAATTTCTTAGAAAATGTGTGAGACATTAAAATAAAAAGTGATAACCATGATAACGAAAAAGGAATGCAAACACTCACTCTATTCGCCGTCTGGATTCTTGACTGCTGTCCGTGTCAGCTGAGGATGTAGAACCTATTCTCTGGCCTGGTTTCCTGTAAGCCACGATACCAGAGTCCACATCGCTATCTTGGCACGCTGCACCTGAAAAGTAAAATGGAGAGTTGTGTGATCAATGTGAATGGAAAAAATTTTTAAATGCATATCTTCACGATCAAAATGAAGTAGAATATTGGGGGCTGGGGAGAAGAGAGCAAAGTCGAGATCATGAAAATAACAGCTGAGGAAAATTAAGCTTTTCTGAATAAAGCAACGCTCATCACATTCCAAATTATTCTTTTATGCTTGAACACGTTGGAGCAAATTTTAGTGAACGCACTAACAAATTTAAAAATAGTTACGCTAACAAAGCTCCAGTTAACTTGGCATTAAATACTATAATTTCAAACTATAATACTATAATTTCAGTAACTTAATTTCTTACCTTTAAAAAGTCAAAAAAAGAATCATATCAAAAGAGATGGAAATAGATGAGCATTTTCAATAATAAAAATAACTTGAAAGTCTTAATTAACTGCATGACTTCAAACCTCATATTATCAATTTTCTTCGCAGTTAACGAATTCATTCAATTTGCGGTGGATATATCTTTGAAGTCCAGGCAAAAATGCAAAAGAAAGGCTTTGAAAGAATGAATCGATATCTTCACGATTACATTATTGGATAATGGCAAAGTAAACTATTTGCCGAGAATTCCTCCGTGGACTTTGAAACTGACTCGTATAAATAGAAAAAACCACGAAACCTCCCATGCATCCAGCCCGTTCGCAATGAATTGAACCTGGATCAAATTACCTGTGTTAAACAATCTTAACCATTGTGTCCTTGATGAGCTTGATATCTTCAAAATGTCTCCTTCAAATGTAGTTCCTCAAATGAGTACCTCCTTCAAATGTAGTTCTTATTACCTATATATATATATATAACCCAATGACTGCGAAGGATAAACAATTGGGCATAAGGAGTAATTTTGGAAAGCAAAAAATGAACAACACGTCTTCAGGTGTATAATGCAGTTCGAAAACAGAAAAAGCAAGAAAATCTCTTCAAAATCCACACGCAGTGTAGTGAAGAATAAATGAAGTGGAGAAGGAAAGAGCGATACTTTAGCCAAAGTATCAAAAGTTGGAGTAAACTGAAAAAGTTAATTAAAAATTTCAGAATTTGAAATAAAAAATGCGTGTAAATTAAAGATATAAAAACAATAGGCTGTTTTTGAAGCAGGAAACATGAAAAATCAGTTATGCTCTCGTCCAAATATGAACCACGGATCTTCCAGTACATGACGTGTTACCATTCACAACACGAGAGCATACACGGAGTTTGATTTTCTGTTTACTTAATTATGGCAATGCACGCGAGGACTACCTGCCTGTGGGAAGGAATGACTTCGTGGAAGACTTTCTAAGAGAAACTGGCTCGTATACACGTTACATATGGGAAAAACTACGAAAACGCCCATGCAGGCAGCCCGTTCACCGGGATATGAACCCCGAACCGAACTACTAATGTTCAACTACTCGGCCGCTGGTGGGCGCACAAACGAGATAATGCGATAATTCCTTATATTCTCTTTTATCGATGGTAGAGTTCGGAGAGAGGCACAACACCTAGTCGATCAAATCCAGACTTTATCGTTGATGATTATCGATTATGAATGAATGAATTATCGTTCATGACATCTTAACCGTGCGACACTGCAGAGACAAAGTTTTTCCCGAAGCTCGAAAAAATGGCTGTGTCCTAACAGGGATTCGAACTACGGATAATTCTAAGTTAAGCAGACGCGCTATCGCTTACGTCAGGACGGCAAGGACAGGGTAATACGACAGTTCCTCATAAAGAAAAATTAAATCTATCGTGTTACACAGATAATAAAAATTTCTTGCACAAATTAGCCAAAAGCGTACCCAAAGAACAGCAGCCTCGAAGAAAACTTTTGAAATATAAAAACAGCTGAATATGAGCAGAGCAGACACGTTAAGGATGAATGCTGAAGAATGAGGTGAGAGTGATCTTGGTAATGCTTGAGACATTCTTCTGAGATGCCATTCTTCTTTCTAAAATTCTCAATTTGAGAATTTTAGAAAACAAAGAACAACAATGATCTAATGTCCATCATACATCAAAACAAAACATTTCCACACACAAATGAGTTCATCTTTAAAATATCCGCCTACCTACCTCAACGCACATTCTTCAAAGTATCAAACACAACCTCAGTACGTATCACGTGTGTCATACACTTCAGGTTTGGATCCATACATCATACCTACAGGCAGAGATTTTAATCAGATCACTCAGATATGAACATTTTACATTTCAAGGCTGATTGCTACGAACCTGTTCTTCAAATTGCAACACCGCCCCTCCAATGCCTTCTAACGCGGAAAATAATGCACAGAAATATTGGAACATTTTGTCGACATTTTGAAAGATGTCAGCGTCCTATTGTGCAACCACAAGTGTTAGACACTGCTAGCGGGCCATCATTAAATTCTTGATATGCACCAGAGGAGGGGAAAGCAGGGGGTCAAGCATCTTCCATGAATGCGGCCACGGCTTGGAAATCGCGAGCAGCAGACGTTCTAGATGTCGTCGTTTACGAAAGCGAAAAAATAGAAAACCCGTTAACCTTGGCATCAAAATCTCATTATAGGTCACTCTGTTATCGTCCACGCTTGTTGAATACGACAGCGGCAAACACAGATAAGACATTCCGAATTTAAGAGGCAGTAAATTTTAAACGAAGGAGTTATGAACCAGTAGTGACTCTCTTTCTTTTTAAGTCCTTTTCATTTACACCATTTATTATTTTTTTCCGGTATCAATTTCACCAAGCTGCATGTATGTAAGACGTGTTGTTCCATTCGTAAGGGTTCATAACGGATTAAATGCAGGCAAAACCGATAACAACTTGAAAAAAATTATTTTACCAAGAGAAACATTTCACACTTCTGGAACTTTCCACAAAATTACTTGTATAGAATTACAAAGCACAATCACTGGTTACACCTCAAACGATTAATAACGTTAAACACAAAAGCGCTTCTAAAAGGAGAAGTTCATACGGAGATAGCTCTAAACTCAAGGCTGAACTAAACAACTGAGAAACACGTTTTCTCCGCTCTTATATAGTTTTCCCTCCAGCCGCAGAGAAATCTGTAGTATATTCCCTTTCTCGAAATTACTGGAAGGCATATGAGGGACGGATACGGTTATACGTACATAGAGAGATTAATTACAGTTTTTAGAAACATTAAGTTATTTTTTGAAAGCCGAAAAGATGAAAAATGAGCAACGCGCTCGCCGGGAATCGAACCACGGACCTCTCGAATACGCGCCCAGCGTATGCGGCACCACAAAGGCATGCGAAGAAGGCGGGAGAAATACTTTATACATTCCTCCTTTTTAAAGGGCGACTGGGACCCAGTCGCCAAATCCTGGAGGTGGAGAATCGTCATCCATCACCCTTTTAGTTCGGGCGCCACTGTAGGACATTAGGTTATTTCGATACGAAATGAAAAATGAGCAACGTCTTCGCAGGGAATCGAACCTCGGACCTCTGGAATACGCACCCAGTGTGCTGACCACTACACTACGAACGCATGCTAAGAAGGCGGGAGAAATACCTTATAAGTTATTCAATTACAATACCAATTACATGTATTCAGTGACCCGACCAAAATGTTGCCAAGTTTGACGACTTTGGGCAATGAACATGAAAGAAAACAGTTTTACAATTAGCTCTTAATCTTGGAGCTGAGTATGAGAAATAGGATAGCGAAGATTTATATTCGAGCATAAGGGTAAGAAAATCCCCATCCACGTGGAGTTACTATTGTTCACGTGGAGTTCGTGAACGATGAACGTGAAAGAAAAGATGATAGTGGCTACTGACGCTGACTACCTTTCTGAAAAGTATCTTATGTTAGTGTAGTGGGGAAAATCCATATATAATTCTGGTCGCACATAATGAAAGTTTCTAGTATGTTATTTTTTAAAGATCTAATTTTGGTGATCTTTGTTCTAATGCTATAAAAAGATCTAATCTTTTTACAGAATATTTTACTAACAAATTCTTATGAATATAAATTATGCCAGTTGTAGAGGCATTAGGATATTTCGAAGCCGGAACATGAAAAATAAACATTGCTCTCGCCGGGCCTCGAACCACGGACCTCTTGAATACGAGCCGAGTGTGTTGACCACCACACCACGAAGGCATGCCAAGAAGGCGGGAGAAATATCTTATACAGTCTCTTCCTAGACACAGTAAACTCAAGAAACTTCGCATTCTTTTTCAATACAAAGCAACAGCCATCCACGTGGCTGTGTTGTGGCTTGGCATCCACGTGGCTTTTTTTTAGACAGCCATGGAAAGACTTAGCATATTAAAAGCTTTATAATTCTGGATGACAATTAATCATGGAAATTAATGAGGATTACAATTAATCAGGAATTACCAGAACTAATTTTGGATGACAGATTGCAGATGACGAGATAAGCCATTTACTCAGTGTTAAAACAGACCTATCCCCGTATCTTATTTTTCCGACACAGCTTCTTCTCTTTCAAGTATTTCATGTTACATATACAAAAGACTATATAATTTCACATATAATTACACTCAAATTATTTGCATATATACAAAATTCGTAACAGTATATTTTCGTTTTACTCCTAATCGTATTTTTTTTTTTTTTTTTATTATTATTATTTTTGACTTCGTCGACAAGATCTATAGGGCATCCCAATGAAAGGATCAGGCTTAATATCCTCAAAAAACTGCTTAATGTTTAGAAGACAGAAAATACTTTTCGTACTTACAAGAGGTAAATGTTCCAATTTAAGAATGTCGAGTTTATTTTGACCTGGAAATTCTATAACTCTTACGTCTTCGTTGTAGCTGACTCCACATGGAGCTCTGCTCCCATATAGAGTTTTGATTGTAAAAACTCATTACAAAAATGGCGAGTATAATGCATAAACTGTTAGGAAGCTCCGTGTAATCTCTGGAGGTGAAAGTGAAACAACAGTTCGCAGAGAAGAAAAGAAATTCTCGGTGCACAAGTTCGACAACA